GAGTAGAAATATAAATACAGTATGGAAAATTAACTTTAAATTTGTATTAATAAACTAAAATCTATAGCAATGTAAAACATTTTAAACAAGTTGTTGCTCTTTAAAAGTAGATTCAATAATCTACCTTTTTATCCTATCATATCTATATTCTATCCCCCTTTCTTCTTTTAGAAAGAGATTGACTATGACCAATAACAATTTGTAACCAACAGCCTAAATAGACAAACATCCATAATCCATTTTTTGGGAATATGGGTGTAGTGTTCTAGGCTACTTCTTGCTGATAGGGGGCGCTGGTCTTATAGGGATCCTGACTAAGAATTATAGTTAAATCTTGGCTGTGGCATCTGTGAGGCTGCATTGTCTGAGCCAGTTGCCTTGAAGCTGATCTGGATGTTGGATCACCTGGGTCATAGTGTCATCAGAGACCTTTCAGGGGTCTTGGCTGATCAAATCTGATGTATCCTAACCTGGAACAAATCCATAGCCTCTTGCTTCCTATGGAAACAAAAGCAGAGCCTCCTTTCCAAAGCAACATATCCTTAAACACAAATTTTGAAGTCAAGATCCCTTTAAAATATATATTTATATTGGTTTAACTGAACAGCCTTTATAATTAAATATCTTTTTGCAATTAAAAATCCCAAAGACAATATAATCCAGACTGTGTGTGTGATTTCCATCTCTATTGGCTTAGCTTTTATATTACTTTTACTTTCTCTTTAAAGACTTTATTTTTGAAAACTTTCTATTTCTTTATATAATTGTCTATCCTCTTCCTCTCTCTTCCAAGCCTACATGCATGCATTTTTATACATAATGTAAACCATTTAGAGGTTTATTCCATCTGAATCTGTCTTTTTGTAAATCTATTCCTTTAAACTGCATCATGACTAGGACTGAAATGGCAGCTTTGGCAGCTGACTTCGCCCACTTCAGCTTCCCAACATGGTGGAACTACATTTACCACCAGCTCTAGGAACCATGCTCACAGCCAATTCTGGGAAACAGTGGGTCTATGCTTCCATCCAGTAGCATGTAGTCCCAAAAAACCTTTTCTTTCTTTCCTTTTTTTTGTCTGTACTAGCAAAAGCTATATCTACCATGCACCATGCTGTGTGGCTTGCAGACACCACTGTGTACAGTGGCAAGAATCCACCATGCTGCACTCAATCCCATATGCCATGAACCCAGCATAATGTAGCTCAAGTACACATGCCACAATGTCTCTGTACCTTGACGTCTCTATATCTCGACCAGCATAAGACATGAAATAAAAAGCTATTTGGGGCTCTGTTATTATGTGTTTAGAAGCCTTTTTTTCTTATATAATATTATATGGACCAGCCTTAATATTATACATCCCAGGGGCTCAGGAGAGAAAACTATGAACGGTGAGGACTATTTTTAGGAAATAGAATCTCAGCACACTTAGCTCTTAGTCCAGTCATTTATTCTTCCAAATCTTCTTCTCCATCCTCCTGCACACTAGGAGTCCCATTACATATATACTTACAAGCAGTAATCTCTTGGTTGTGCAAAGCCAGGTTTCCAGGGTCAAAAGGAGGGGTGATAAGAATCACATAGAGGAGCAGTAATTGGTAATTATCATTTGCAGCCCAAAAGGGAAGTGACTGATGGGGAATGAATTAACTAAAGGCTAAATTCGGGTAATATCCTAGAAGAGGGATCTTAGGTGCTCAACTATAATCTTAAGTGTGATTGGTAGAAAATGTTAAGAACCTATAAGTTGTTAGGTCAATGGAAGAAAATAAAACTGTCTTCTTTTTTCCTGTGGCTCCTATCTGTCCAAGTTATCTCCCATTTTTCTGCAGGGTAGGGGAAAGTGTAGCTAGAGTTTTCCTGCTTTGCCCACAGTCAGGACAAATCTTTGTC